AGACCTGGGCTTGACCGGATTCACGAAAAAAGGAAATGCACTTCCTAGGTCATGTTAAGAAGGGATGTCAGGCCAAGGCTGGAGGGAGGGAGGAGGTCAAGCCCCGGCCGGAGGTAGGTAGGACGAAGGTCGTCCTGAGGGAACAAAGATCAGGCAAAGGGAGGCATCAGGGAGGGAGGGAGGGAGGGAGGATATTGGGCGGAGAGAGGGAGGGAGGGAGGATGTTGAAGAGAGAGGAGCACCTAGGCCGCCAATTAGGACATGGGTAGGTGTTCAATAGCATGCAGGTAGTAGCATGGAGGTAGGTTCTCCATAGCACGTAGGTAGGTTGCACAAGTGGTTAGGGGGGAATAGCACGTGGGTAGGTGGAGATAAGAGAGTGAAGGGGGGAAGAGAGAGGTAAGCGCGTGGATAGAGAGAGTAGAGAGAGAGGAAAGAGAGCGCTAGGTCATGTAGGGCACCAGGTAGCACATGGGTAGGTCACCAATGGCACGTAGGCAGGTTGCCAATACAACACAGATAGGTCGCCAATAGCATGTAGTTAGGTCGCCAATAGCACGCAGGTAGGTCGCCAACAGCAAATAGGTAGGTTGCCAATAGCACGTAAGTAGGTTGCCAATAGCATGTAGGTAGGTCCAACACCGTGCTTCAGTAGGGCACTTCAACACCACACCTTCAAGAGTGTGATAGCCGGACCAAAATGCGCTTCGACATGGCATACGATGCAGCAGGGGGCTTGGACATGGTGCATAGAGGAGCAGAGGAGCACAGCGCATGGAGAAGCATGACGCATAGGGCAGCACGACGCATAGAGGAGCACGGCAAGGAGTCCCACAGACTTTTCAATGCAGCCAACGGGAGACCTGTCCAGGCGGTTGGCATGTGGTGCTGGGATTTCTCAGTACGGCTAGACGCTCTTCTCAACAGGCACCCTGATCTGGGCGGTTGGCCACTTGGTACCGGGCAGACGGCCTGGATCATCGCGCAACCTTAAAACCTTACGATCGTGTGACGGTCCACAACGTGCGCTGACAGCCCAGGTGTTAGATTTCTCCTATTAGCGATTTTTCTTGTCTTTAAGAACATTAAGTATTAGTAACCTTTGTCTTCGTCTTTGTCTTGTCCTGCCCTGCCCTGTCCTGGCTTGTCTTGCCTTGCCTTACCTGGTCTTCTCAATCGAATCTAGTATATCTCCCCTCTCTCACCAGACACCAGCACACCTGCTTACATATGCTACCATGCAGCCCTGGACCAGAACAGCGAACTGAGCTGATGTAGTTTAAAAAAGTCGTTTTCGTTGGATGCTCTGTTTTTCTCTCCACATGCACATCATGACACATAAAGACACTCACTTCGATTTTGGATCTACTCATCTGGGTGGAATAGGGGCTGTTGTGGTGAAAATTCAAAACACACTCGACAAAGAAAAAGAACATACTCAACCTTGCAGGAAGCCAAGGGACAGAATGACCTCGCTGACCTGAGTTTTTTGACATCATCTGCACGAGGATACTTCCGCGGGCGCCCACGGCCCCGTGCACTTGGTGCTCTCTTTCTCTGTCATGTGGTTCAAATGCCGAACAGAGTCAAATGAAAACAATATTTAGGACTCTCAGCCAAAGGATTCGCTGCTTCCTCCCTTAGCAACTTCCTCAGGATCGAAACTGCTGTTACTGCCCCACTGCTCAATAACCAGGGAAAAAAAAAAAAAAAAAAAAAAAAAAACCCTGAAAAGGCCAAACAGCCCTCAGCACATTTCTTTTAAGGAGGAGGGGCATACGATACAGAAATCACACAGTCAACAATTGCAAAAGAGAAAAGAACTGTTTGTGAACATCCAACAGTGATTAACAGATGAATGCGTTTGGCCATGCACTAGTCATGGCCATCATCAGGGGGCTACCAACCTCCCACTCCCCAAGCTGAACATTTTTCCACGCAAGCACTCATGGAGACTGCCGTGTAAAACAACGTGCAAACCAGAAGAAGAAGAAGAAGAAGAAGAAGAAGAAGGAGAAATCAAGGATAAACAATCAGTACACATCTGGTCTATGTGGAGGGCAAAGCCCAATTCAATAACGATTTTTTGCACAGGAGCTTCACCAAAACACACCACAGAACAGGGAACCCCTCTACCAGTTCTTACTTGTGCGTGGCAAGTCTCTTCAGGAGGGTAAAACAACAAAGATGGGTATTCCCCATCTCAAACTTTATAGTCCCGAATCGCATCATCATCAATCAACCCATCCCTCCCCTTTTCCCTCTCTCTCTTCCTCACGCCATCCTTCCTTGCCTCACCATCCTGCCTCTAACACCTCTGGCCGGTGATACTCCTCAGCGAATCCCAACCTCCACTAGCCATAGCGCACGTTCAGATAGGAGAGCCAGCGCACACTCCTTGAGCTAGCGAGCCGGCGCACGACTCGTCACATATCACCGCACAGGCGAGAGAGATGGCCTCTCATGTATACCATGATTATGTACTCCCAGGCGGGCAGCATCCTGGCAGGGCGCCCAATCGTTCAGCGATCCCATCCATTGAGCAGGCAGCGCGCGAAGAAGCGGGGTACTAAAAATAGTGGCATACTCAAAAAAGCGGGAAGGCAAGAAAGAGGAGCGCGTTTACTTCCTACAAAAAAAAAAAATCCAAAAAGAATTTTCAAAAAACCATTTTTTGCTAAGTTTTTGGGTCCGTGCGCCCAAACGTCAGGAGTACTGTACAGAAAGACTTCCAACCCAAAAAGCCAAATTGCCACAGGTTGCTCAACAACCCAATGGCCCAAAAGAGAGAATGACGGCAACAACAAAAACATCGACGATAAAGAAGAAGAAGATGACATGACAACAACAACGATGAAGACGATGGATGACCAAGACAACAAAGACAACGAAGAAGAAGAAGAAGAAAAGAAGAAGAAGAAGAAGAAGAAGAAGAAGACTACAAAGAACAAAATAAGAGGAAGAGCTTCTGCCCTCATCTCCAAGACCTGTTGGCACACAGGAGAGAGAGAGACAGAGTGAGTCCAAACCTCTCCCCCTCACCCCCCTTTCTGAGCCTCTCCTTGCACACTGAACCTCTCGCCCCTCACTCTGAACGTCTCACCCCCCACTCCAAGCCTTGTGTCTCCTGAAAAGGAAACAAATAGTCAAACTAACAACAAACGAACTTAGCAACCTACGTAGAGAAAAATAATTGATTTCTCATGCGGACATATCTGCACATAGTGAACCGGAGTCACCAGACAGATCCAGAAATGTCCAGATGGTCTGGCTCTGTCCGGATGGCAACCACACTCCCCAGTTGCCAGCATCCAGAATGTCGCGGTGTCTGGGTCTGCCGTACCGATGCTTCATAGTCATCAGTACTTATGGTTTACCAATGTATTATTGAATACTGATGGTGATCAGTCCTTGGCAATAAATACAAACTGATACCAACTTAATACAAAAAATTATGAACACCAAGTTTGGAAGAAAGCAAAGACATCTCCATTTCCACTATGCAAAGCTACTGTGCCTTTCTTGGCATGTCATCTGTGCCAAATTAGATTCACAGAATCCAAGACAAGGAGAGAAATGTGGACAGGGGTATGGTAAGCTGTTCAGAAAACAAAGTTTAACAAACCTTCTGCGCTTCGTCACGCATCGCTTGGCTGCCAATTCCACTGCCATGCAAATTGGGGGACAAAAGAAAAGAGCGACAAATGAATGAAACAGAGATGAGATCAATGACTTTGCTTACGTACAACCAAGGCATCAATAGGGATGACAGCAGATGGGTGGCGCAAAGGAAGGGTATAAGGGCAGGCAGAGAGGGGAACAGTGTTTTTTTTTTTTTTTTTCAGACTTTAACCGCACATCAACTCTAAAGGAAAAAGCTTAAAGAAACAAAAAAAAAGTCAAACTAGAAGAGGCGCCAGAGTAAAAAAAGTGGAACAAAATCTTTGCTTTTCTACTTACCATCTCTCAGGAAAGGTTTTATTCTTTCTCAGAGTTGGACAGCCTCTATAGGGTTGGGTGTACAAGCTACTTTATCTGGGGAAGAGTTTATGAAAGGGCTTAAAGACAGACTAGAAAGGGCTTAAAGAAACAAGAAAAAAGACAGACTAGAAAAGGAGCCAGAATAAAAAAGTGGAACAAAATGTTTGCTTTTCCTGTGTTGGTCCCCTGGCGGCTGGGGGAAGGTCGCCCGGGTACCCTCCCAGGCGGCCCGGGCCGGGCAGGGTCCGGGCAAGGTCCCAGGCAGCCCCAGCGCATAATATGAAAAAACTTAAAAAATATTTAAAAATCCAAAAAAAAAAACATCTTGTGTAAAATTGCAATATAAAGCTAGGAAGATTTTCATGACCGGCCGGTCTGAACCAGCCAGTCACCCGGGCGTGATGCCCGGGGGATACCCGGGCAAGGGAGAACCAAAAAAAAAAAAAAAAAAAAAAAATTGGCGGTGGGGTTTTTCCGTGATTTCTGAGAGGAGCCCAAATCGGGGCTCTTTTCTTTTTTTGAGAGTTGGCTGTCAAGGGGGGGGAAGGGGAGTATAAATGAATTTTGAAGGGGCTAAAGGGGTTTTAAAGGGGGGTGCCTTAATGTGATTTAAAAAAAAAAAAAATTGTTTTTCATCTTCAGTTCCGTGAGGAATTCTGATGTGACCCTCAGCCAAAAGTTGTTTGTATTGCAATTCTACACAACATTTTTTTTTTCAGATTTTTTTGGAGTTTTATTCTTTTACTTTTTTTAATTTTTTTTGCGCAGGGGCTGCCCAGGCCAGTGCCCGGGGGTCATGCCCGGCCTGTCACCCGGTCGCCAAACCGGGCATGACATCGGGGCCCGGGCGCCCGGGATATCTCCCTAGATATAAGGTTATAAACAATGTTTGGCTGAGGGCCACCTCGAAATTCCTTGTTGATTTTTAGATAAAAATAAATGAGAAAACATGAGTCGAAATGTACCCTTTTTAACCCATATAGTCACTGTTTATACCCCCTAAACTCCCCTGGATGACCCATCACCAAAATCGAAGTTAAGACCAGATTCTGACTGCTTAGGCCAAGCGCAGTCCTGACCTGAATTCCTTTTTTTTTTTTTTTTGAGATCCTTGCTTTTTTTTTGACCCGTCTGGTTTTGCTGGGCCCCCCCCCCCCCCCCCCTGCAAAACTGGCCTGGGCGTGCCTGGCCGGGCCAGGCCGGGCAACGGCCCAGCATAGTGCTTTTCTACTTACCATTGTTACCAACTGTCAGGAAATATTTTTTTCTTTTTCAGAGTTGGCCAGCGGCTATGGTGTTTGAAGTTTTTTTCCTTTTTTTTAATTGGTCCCGATGGACCATCCTGCTCAAGCCCATGTCTACTCCCTCCCTCTCCTGCCTTCCCATCCTCTCTCTCTCTCTCTCTCTCTCTCTCTCTCTGTGTGTGTGTGTGTGTGTGTGTCTTACCTCTTGCAGCTGCGTGCGTGCACGCGCCCGCTTCGCTTTTTTTTCCCCCCAAAAAATCGCTTGTGTTTCCGGTTTCTTGTATTTTCGAAATCACTCATGCTTCCCTCGTTTCTCTTTTCTCAATTAAACTGATCAGTGCGCGAACGGATTTTTCGTGCCGCTCGGCGCTGGCCCAGCAACGTCCCGACAGTACCGGTGCTAGAGCGGGGGCCCCAGTACCTTGTGTGGTACCGGCTCTGGTGTGCGGGCCTGGTACCAAGCGTGGTGCCAGCACTGGCGTTCGGGACCGGTACTGGCCCTGGCGACGCTTCAACTTCTAAGAAAAAACAATCAGCAGACGATCGGGACCATCGCGGAGCAAAAATCGGAGGGCCCCGATCATCCACTTGTCACAGGCAGGAACTTGGCCACCTGGCAACGCTTCAACTTCGAAGAAAAAACGATCAGCAGACGATGGGGACCGTCGCGCAGCAAAAATCGGAGGGCCCCGATCGTCCGCTTGTCACAGGCAGGAACTTAGACATAGTTATCTATGTAGTGTTATTTTCTCGGCTACTGGAGAATCGCTGCGATTCTCTTTCGATGAGTGATTCCTTCGAAGGTCGGGAGACAGATCGACCGTATGGAAGTGTGTTTTCTTGACAACGATTCGTGGGTAGCTGTAAGGCTGGTCCGAAATTTTCAGGGAAAAGTGAGCTCTGCATTCACACTCCGATTATTCACACTTGTCTTGCATGCAAACAGCGATACAGCAACTGGCGACATGCGCCCTGACAGTACTTAAGATACCGTAACCAGATATGAGTTCTCTTCAACTGGCTATGGCGACTGGGCGCCCACACTACTCACTGTTCGCACTCTGGATCACCCTGGATGTCCCACACGCAACACTCAGTATCATACGCAACACACACACACGCTATGCTACAGCTATGGCAGCGCTAGCTGCCACTACCTATCGCTACACTACACTTCTCTGCCCACTTCGTCTTTGGGCACACTGCAGACCTCCTCGCACAAGCTGCTAAGGCAGCGCTTCCGCATGGCATCCGCAGGAATGAATGAATGGCTGGACGCAGCCTCTTGATTTATACTTCTGCGCTCCGTTGGTCTGCCCTGAATCCCTGGCCCATGGTGCACACAGTCCCCCCCCGTGGTACTTGCTGGACCGGACTGGTACTTTCTAGACTCTCCCATGACTGCATGGCGACTACCCTACGACGCAGTGCAATTGCACTGGGGTCCTACTATTAGCCCTTGCCACTTGTCCTCGTCTCCAACATGGGCTTGCTTTAGTCACACCACTTGCCCACTTGCCTGCACCACTTGACCACTTGCCAACCTTCTAGAAGGACTGCAGCTAGCCTTCTAATCTACAGGTCTATGGATCGAATCCTGGCTACCTATAGACCTACGACAGACCTACCTACCACTGGCGGTTCTACAGGTCGCAGGTTCAACTCTTCGAAGAGTTGACGCAGGTATTGTACACAGGTAAGTTGGGGAACTAGGGTTCGAGCCCTGGGATCTGCCTCAGCTACCACGAATTGGTGAATACCGTTTCACTCCCGCCGGCCTAAATTCGAGGTCCTCCGAGAAAATTTCAGTCCAAGGCAGGACCTTTACCCTTCTGCTGTCTCTCGTAGGCCCGGACTATGTCGGGAGCTGTCTCTAGAAGTTCAGATCTAGTAAACCAGCGGTCGTCTTCCGGTTCTTGATAACTAAAGTGAACCTTGTACTGTTTCTGTGGACGACCCCTACCTCCAGTCCTGAATACATCTTCAGCCACTATTCCATCAATGTCG